ACAGTGGATGGGTGGGAGCGTTTGTGGGGTTTGGTTGGTTTTTTATTTATTTTTTTGGTCAATTTAGTGTTTTCACTGTTTACTGTAAATTGTTACTTTAGGTCAATTGCTTTTTCATTGTATCCGTTAGCCTCTGAATATAAGAGATATTCAGTTCCTTATCTGGTATAATATTTTTTCCTACATTTTCAGATTATGTGCTCAAAAAAGTTGAGTTCTTTGTGCATCAGAAACGTACCCGTTTCTCTGACTATAGAATGTGAAAGAAAACATATAATAACAGAGAAATATGTTTATTTCTCATAAATATTGCAATAAGTCATTTTTGTTTGGTATTTATATACTTAATGTATTGGAATTTCTTAATCTTTCGAGATCAAAATAACAAGTACCATTTAGAATCAGAAACTTCATCTATTGATACCATCTGAGGTAGCAGTTCTGATGGTGCTTTCTGGAGACGTATATGTCTGTATATTCTGATTAGATATGATAATCTTTGAATAAATGTGGTACATTATAAGTGACAACATCCTTCCACCTGGCAATAACTTTTTTTGCAATATAAAACTTCATATATTTGTCAATCAAAGTGATTCCTAGTACGGCTACCATAAAGAAATCATACAATCATTTCCCCAATGAAAATGTTAGATACAAAACCTAAGAACGGGATTCATCTGTCCAAATATAGACTTTATAACACAAACATCTATACTGAGCTAATCATCCAAAATTCCATCTTCAGTAAATAGAAGAAAATTAGTGCATTTCATCTGACCTCCTTAGGCTCTATCTATTTTTAGTCTAAAATAGATCAAGTGAATTATGTCCTAGAAATGCCTATTTTCTTCTGTTTACAGTAAGGGCACTAGGAGGTTCTACATGTATTACATGCATATAGTCCACCTGTGAGTTAGCTTATGACTGAAACAGGTGAAATTAATACCACTCTGATATATCTTTCAGACAGATGTTATAATTTTCCTTTCCTTTCTCCAAATCTTGATGAAAACATTCTTGCATAACATCCTCTTCTTATTTGTCATTTCTTTGGTTCATACAAGCTTTATAAACTGCGCATCTCTAGGCACTCAAGCCTCCTGAGTCATATATATTCACAGACTTGGCCAAAGCAGAGTCATGTTTGTAAGCACCTGACCAGCTTGGTATACAAATGTTCTAGCCACCTACTAAATGCCCAAGGTCCCCTTGGCATCAGTCATCCGGTTACAATATGTTGGACCAGATACAGTAGAATCACACTGCAGGAGTGGCCTTCAGATGCCTCTTTGATTATCTGCATTTCATGCATACTGGAATACATGACCACCCCACGATGGAAGCTGCTTGGGAGTCAGTTTACACCTTTGGCAAAGCAGAGCTGGTAACATCAGTCTTTGATACATTGTTGCACTTGTGCGTGGGGGGGGGGGAAAAACAGATGCCATTTGAATTCTAGCAGTTTCAACTGTATGCTTGCTCCCCAGGTTTGTGTACTTTTCTGAAAGTCATGGGCAGCATCTGCCTAGCTGACTATGAGAGAAACTGGCAAGATCAGCCTTGAGTGGATTTATCCAACTATGAGATATTTCTTGCATGTGTTTGGACTTCTTGAATCCTAAATACTGGCAAAGACTCATCTGTGTGCTTTGTTGTGACACTGTAGCTATATGTGGATTTATTGGTTTAAACCAATGTATTATTTGCTGTCACAAGTGCTTAATCTACTTGTGGTCCTTCAAAGAGGCTTAGCAGTATAATAAGAACTTGGAATCCTTTAAATTTAAAAAGGATGTGATCACTGGAGTGTTTAACTGGTAGTATGCATGATTCAGTTTATCATATACAAAAACCCAGACAATTGACACATCTGGATGCATCAGTTTTTTTATTCTCTCAGTGCCCACGCTAATACCTGCATAACATCTGTCAAATGCAAGTTCAAGTGCTGGTCAGTTTCCATTATTGGGCAATGTTAGAAAAATGCTATAAACTTTAGATTGATGAATGATTTGGGAAAACAGATACGGTAGATATTTATCTGCATTTGCACTTGAAAGAAGCTATCGCAACCGTTGCTGATACACATGAATGTCTGTATCAAGTAAATAACATCAGAAGTGTTGTTATTGGAACAATCCCATAAGGGTATGTAAACAAGGCAGCATCGATGCCCAGTTCTTTGTGATTCTGCAGTTGTGGTCTCATTTTTGGAAGGAGAGATAGGAAATACAGTTAAGGAGGTCCAGTCCTTTCCCAACTGGCAATTCTTTGATGTTAATGCAGTAGGCATAGGAATATTTTCAGTGACTTCACAAACATAATGAATTTTTCTGTGAAGCTGATCCTTGTTAACACCTTTGCTTTAGTAATAAAATTAATTCAGTTGAGTGCAAAGAATTTTCTTGATATGCAACACTTTGTTTTCAGAATATTTCTGTTGTGAGAGTGATCCAGAATCGCTCCTCTTTTGTTTGTACAAACACTTAACAACTTGCTAATGCTGAGCTGCTATAGCTACACTCTGCTAGCAGTGTGGAAGAACCTCTCCTTCACTACAGCATTGCACACTTGCTCACCTGCACCTAATGTATTTTAATAGAATTTTGTATGTCCCTTGCCCTCTCAAGTACTTGTTTTATTATGACAGAAGTTAAACTATGCCTCGTGTAAATCACTGAGGTTCCTGTAAACTGCTGCTTTTTCTGTCATTGTTGCTGCTGCTTTTGACTCACTACTATCCAAAAAAAAAAAAAAAATTCGAACGTGCTGTGGCATTTTTAGTGATGCTGAGTCTGATGTTTTCCCTCACTTGGGTTTTGCCAGTCTCCAGGTAGAGAATGTGACTGTACCTGGCTAACTCTTAGAAGAATGTTCTGTGAATTTATCTTATGAAGATATTATATTCAAGGTGGAACTTGGCTTTCCTGCATTTGTGTGACCCACATAAGTCTTTAGTACTTGGTGAAAAGGTATCGCTTTGCTCTTGTTTCTTCACAATTTAAGCCCACAGAAAATATATGGTAAACTGCAAAAAAATTGCAATCACCATCTGAATAAAATTGTAAGTCACAATTGCACAAATAAAATTGGTAATGTGGCATTATATTTTCATTGTGGTAGCCACCTCAAAAAAGATACCCATGTGGAAGTGTTATTCAGTGGTTCAAAATAGTCAATACAAGCAAACACATCTATTTCTGTATCTAAATTATGCTACCTCAAATGGTTCTGGTTATCACCTAGCTTACTATTTCTGTTAGAGGCACATAGTCAATGAGATGCATTTCTTCTAAGTTTAATTCCCTTGTTGATGAATTAAAATAGATAATTTCTACTATGGATATATTCTTTACAGAAGATTTAATTCTACGTCTGTTATGTCTCAGTTATATAACTTAAATTTCTTTTCCTTACCCTCTAGAAATAATTTTTTTTCCACTGTGATGCAAAAACACAAGAAACCAGCTGCTCCTAAAGTTTTTTTCCAGTGTTGTTGGCTGAAAAGATCATCTTTGTTCTAATTATCGTAATGAAATATCCTTGCTTCGTCAAAACTGGCTTGTCTTTTAAGCTCGCATAATGTTTGAAATGTATTACCTCTGCAGCAACAAGTGTTTTGGTATGCTAACTGACTTGGCAAAAGTCAGATTTTTGTTCCTGTGTTTGTGCTAGTCTGGTTCACATCTTCACATGGGAAAAACAGTCCAGGTTTTACAGTCAGTGTCAAGTTACTTCAAATGTTCAATTACTCTCAAAGAAAATACCTTGGTTTTTAATGTTTGTTTCTCTTACTTTCTTGTTTCAACTCTATCTAGTCTTACTAATAGACATGATAGTCTACTCAGATGCCTTGTTAAGTGCCCCATTGAAAATACTTATGGAGCATTGTCATTCAGAACTTTTGCTTCCTAAACAGGAGCATAATCTAGTTTTAGTCTGGGACACTATTGTCTTCCTCAGACAAAATGTCCAGATGTACGCTGTAAAATTCTGATGCCTGACCTACAAAAATGACACAATTAAACTTTCTGGAAAAGCTTGTCAGAGTGAAGCAAAAGAGTTGGTTTTGCTCCTTGTTACTGTGTTCTCCTTGAGGTACACATGACTGTTAATTTTTTTGTTGTTTTTCTCCTCTTCTCATACAGTTGCATGCAGTGACTGCTCTGAGAATTTGTTGAGAGTTGGGCTTCATTAAAGACAGTAATTCTCAAATGCTTTTAGAAAATGGAGGCTAACAAGTAGGCATTTGCTTGTAAAGTAACTATCTATGTAGCAATAATGACAGCTCTCTAAGTTACGTTCCCTCTATTTATAAGGATGCTTACTTAAGAGATTACAATTATTATTCAAGGTTGCACAGATCAGATACTGTCCCAAGAAATAAAATGCCACGGTTCCAGTCACCTCTTTCGACTAAGGATTGCACGTAAGCCTAAATATTACCTGGTATATGAAAATCAAGAATGTATTTAAATATATAGCTCTCTGTAATACTAATTTTTCTGACTAAGTATCAGTAGTTTAGAACATAAAATTTGAAACAGCCTTTGCTACACTGAATGCCTGGTTTCTAATTTTGCTGCAGGGTTTCTCAAACTTTTTCTATGTAAGTTACACAGGGAAAAATTCCCAGATGTAGAAGGAGAGGGAGAGTTGCAACTACCAGCAGATATGTCAATAAAAAAAAAAAAAAAGACTTGTTTCTCCAGTTAATCAAAAGCAGCCAAAGAACAAAGAATCAAACAAACTTAAGCTATTTTGAAATTGAAGTTTTGTGTTGGCTGTTGCCAGCCAATGCTGAATGCAAGGGTTCCATTTCTAAATCAGAATTAAACAAACCACTAAGAGTGGATGAAAAAGCAGAGCATTTAACTTTCTGCTCTCTCCTTCCTTTCCCTTAGAAAAAACACATCTCCCTAGAGAGTTTAGTTTCACAGTTTGAGAAATGCTGTTCTTCAGGCAAGTTGTGGTGGGGAGAACGTGATGGTTTGCACATCTTTAATGAGACCACAGTCTATCCCTACGATTGAATTCAAAGTAACTTTGATTAGTTACATCTGTTTACACCTCATTTGATATATCTGGGACTATGAGTCAGAGGAATACCTGAAATAAACCCTTCGCCCTGTGTATATCATAAGTGTTTTGACCAGGCTTTTGGGAGATTACTGCCAAGCTAGAAGCTTTACATGCAGTAAAATACTGTTGAGCTCTTCCATAGTATTCCTGTAATTTCTTGTTGTTTGTTTTTTCGTTCCAAATCCGTATTCCTTACTGGTGCTTGCATCGTAAAAAGGGAATGCTAAAATAATAATTAGCTGGAGCTGTAGATAGAATCGTTTTCAGAAATCTGAAACAACATTATACTGAGGACTAAGAACGTTTAACTGCAAACAGAGGAGAGAAGGGGGGTAGCCACAATGTCTAATGATAAACCATCATGTTAAATGTTAGAATTTCTGATGTCATCTTGGCAAATTTGTATATTGTATATTTGCTTCCTAATATTGCTTCTCCATAGTCTCTGTAGTAGTCCAAAGGACTACCACGAGTTTACAAGTGAATATTTTTGAATTCTGAGAAAGGAGCATGGAAAAGGAATTTGACTTTTTTATTTTGTTTCTCCTCACGTTCCCTAATCCTGAAATTTGAGCTTCTCCTATAGTAATTCTCACTTTCAGAGAGAACCAAAAAAAGAGAGGTGTCTCTCATACTATGCAGTTTAGAAGGATACTAAGTTAGCAGTGGTCTTTATGGAGAAAATTGAATAATTTCAGTTTATATCTTGGAGAAAATAATCTCCTAAATTAAATGAAGTGATTTAGGAGATTACTTAATTCTTTCTTAAGAGAATAATTAATCTCTTGAAACTGTCTCCTCTTACAAGCGACCTATAAAGCAGTGAGCTTACAGCCATCCAATAACTGGACCACAGGTTTCGGAACTTAGTCTAGTTCTGAAATCTGCCTTGATTTTTCCTTATTGTAAAATTTTCCATTTACTCAGCACAGGTGAATGATGCAACTGCTTCAAGAGAATTTTGTGCGGTTTTAGTTCAATAGGTAGTAGCTACAGAAGCCTTTGCATGTATGTAACATTACTGTGGTATTTACAGTAATAGCAATCTGGAAGGTGGGAGTTCTGTAACATCCTCTAGTATGTAATATGTCTAAATTCTCTGTACGTTTTTTAAGATGACCCTCAGCCTATTCTATAAACTTTTGAGGTCATGTTTTCCATTAGGATAAAAAAAGTTGCTTATAAAATATACTATGCTTTCAGGCCTGCAACTCTTCCCTCAAGCTATGCCTTCAGCTCTTCCTTCATTTCCCTCAAGCTAGCAAATTTGCACAGAGTAGAAAGTCTCATAAATTCACTTGAATGTCAGTATTTCCCTACTTGTCTCTGCTTCTTGATTATTTGCTAGTGAATGTTGGGATTTCCAATGCAATTCAGGAGTAAAATAGTGTGGCTGTCAACACTGCCCTTGATTGCAAAGTACAAGTCATTATAAACATAGAAAGAAGATGGATTCTGGGTTTTTTTTTTTTTTCCTCCTTTTTACTTTTGGGGGGGAGGTCCAAGCTTACACCATGCAAAGATATTTGTACTTCAGTTGACAAATACTGGCCATTATGAGTCAAGCACCAGCTAGTGCACTCTTTGCACTTCTCTTGAAGCTCAGGATGGCTGTGCCCTTCTGTGGGTGAAGTGACGTTCTTATATACTTTTAAGTCTTTTTCAATAGAATTTTCTTTCTCACTCAGTTTTGTGATCTTGGTGACAACCAGTTGCAGAACAGCTCCATTCAAAATAAGGATATCTAGACAGCTAGAGTTTTGACTAAGCCGGAGATTATCCAAATATCAAGCCAGCTTCCAAGCACCCAGCCACTAATGCTTTACTGGAATATAATGATTTCTTAAAAGTGCCAGTAAGGGTGGGAAGATTTGTATTGTAACTACAAAACCTGTTGGAGCAAAGCACGGGTGGGAAGCAAAGAAGATCAAAGGAAATATGTTGAATCATAGATAATAATCTTGGTATAAAAACTATCCCAAGATTTAAAGTGTACAGTGACTCTTACTTTCTCTTGCCTTTACATATTAACAACTAACTTAACAGAATGGCTTAAATTTTTAATTAAAATTTCTATATTTGTTGTTGTTGTGTTTTTTTTTAAACAAAATGCCTTGATATGTGAAAGCCAATGTGGATGTCAGGTCAAACATGAAGAAAAATCAGTAAAGCAAAGGCAGTTTATCAGAGTTCATTTCTGTCTAATAGAGATGAGGTTTGTATAATCCTGTAAACAAAACTGTCATGCTTGCATTCTGTATATTTTTTTAACTATTGCCTCATAGTCAAAAGTTCAGATCAAGTAACTTGTTGTCACTGCGATAAGAATTCTGTGCTGCTTTTGAATTTCTTGCAGTTGCCTTTAAACTTCATTCACACATACAATACTATCTTGAACTTTAGTGAGCCTGAAGAAAAAATCCTTGCCTGTTGCGAGACACTTATGTGAGATTCTCCTCATTGAAATAGGCTTATGTTTTCAAAGCAGATTATGGATAGGATTTTTCTTAAAAAGCCAAGGCTTGTGAAGCATTTCATTCATGTCAATGAGGACTTAACTGCTGACTTCAACGGGTACAGAATTAGCTGGGCAAGGACTTTCTAAATGTATCGTGTATAACAGATTGAAACTCACCCTTGCATTATTATGTGTGTATGTTTCTGAAGAGCATGTATAAATGTAGTTCACAGTCCTTATACTACTGGAATTTGGGAGTGTTACTGTATAATGGTGGGAGAAAGGTCAAACCAAAAGCAAGCAATCAAAATTTTGGAATGGGAACTATCTGAAAAGCTTTTTTATTTTTATTTAAAATCTGACTGCAGTATTTCTCTCTTCATTTACTGTGCTTATACGAACAGTGTGACACCATCACTGCAACAGGCTCGTGTCTGTCCTCCCAATATGTTACCTGAAGATGGGACTAATCTTTACTCTGCTCGTGGCATTTTGTCGTTTATCCAGTCTTCCACTCGTAGGGCTTACCAGCAGGTCTTGGATGTGCTGGATGAAAATCGCAGGTGATTGGTTGTCACTGATTCTGCCAGCTTTTGCTGCCTTTTTTTTTTTTCCCCACCTTTTTAGTGGAGTGTGGTTTCTGTTTATTAAATAATGAGATGAAATTATTTACTTTACTTTCTTTTGCTTTCACTCTTCATAAGCAATTATATTGTCCAAAATTCACATTTCACAGTGCTTCTTGATTTCAATCAAATATAGCATTGTTTTGATTTTACTTCCAAATAAAAATCAAAATAGGAAGTGCTAATTTGTGGCTGCCAGGGTTTGTGCTGTTCACAGGTTGTTAATGTTTTCTGCAATTAATGTTTGATCTCAAGCCTATAAATGTAATAGCCTTGTCTACCATTTTCTGTTGGTGAGTAATGACACAAATCAATAAGATTGGGTTGATATTGTCATAATTTATTGAAGCAAATGTACAGAAACAGGGTAGAATGTTGTGCAAGACATAGCGGATGCTGCTTTTGGAAATGTGCCAAGACTTTAGACCGTGTCAGTTTATGTTCTGGCTAGTTGTCTCTGGTTGCTACATGACTGATGGTGACCATCGCTTTTCTGGATATTTGCTAGGGAACAAGAACGGAAATACATGTCTACTGAGGAGCTGGTTGCTCCTCTGTTCAGTGCTCTCTCTATTTTGATGGATAAGCAACCCTTGCTGTGATCAGCATATTTCCACTCTTCAGTGGAGTTTTGCCCACTCACTGAATCCTTGGATGTTTTTGATTTGGCACTTCTAAGCATTAAAAGGATGTCATGTTTAATGCTCTAGGAGCATTTATAGAGACTCATAATGGCAAGGTTAATTTCCCAAATGCAGTTTTTCGTTTCAATAGCATGTTAACACAGAGATCCAGATAGTAATTGCATGCAGCTAGTCTCTAGCTCTTGCTGAGAGGATGAATTGGAGACACTGGGAAGAATTACTCTTTCCTCTTTCAGTTTTGCCTCTCTATGTCAGGAAGTCCTTTCAAATTTCCCCCCTGCCTCTGGTTGCTAATATGCTGGCACTCTTAATGTTTTGTAGCGTTGAAGTTAAACAATTTCCTTTTTAGTTGTTTTGGTAAGAAAATGTCACTATTAAGCCAATCTTATTGTGAATGTCAGTGTATTTGTGGTCAGTTTTCAAACTGGCATGTCCTCTAGCTCACCATGTTTGTTGCCACAACAATATCTGATTGCCCATTTTAAGGTCTGAATTGTGCAGAGCTGCAGACTTGCTGACCTTTATGCTCTTAACCTGAACTTAACCTGGAGGGAAAAAAAAAAAAAAAAAAAGAGATGCTCTGTTCCCATTGAACTTCTGTGAGTTGGGTGTTTAAACCCCATCTGAATCCTTGAAATTCCAAACTGTAGCTGTTAAGATTTTGATGGCTGTCAAAAGTTTGGTGGATAGTAATAACCTTTTCTTGTCAGTACTAAAAGGTTAGATGGAATTGCAACTTTTTTGCAAGGTTAAGTCTTACAGATTAGGAGGAATTCTGCTGTCTGTGCTTAATAGCGCTCACTAGGCATATTTTACCAAGGGTCCCTGTTAAAATGTAGACTGAAATTTTCACCCTTTCTACAGTCTGCAGTGAAGCTAACAGGTTTTGTCCCTGATTTCCAATGGGAATGTTCTTGCCCATATTTTCTTGGATTCTGGAAAATATAATTCCGTATGCTGGTGTATATGCACTTCAAACTTAATTCACAATTAGCAAAAAATTTCCAGGGTTCTGAATGCTTCAAAAGCTGCTTTCTTCTTTCTGGTTTTGCTCAATTTTTTTGAGGTATCCTTACTAAGTATGGTAGAAGAAACTGGAAACTGTTGCTATCCACCTATGAACAGATCTTGCCAAAAATCTTGAAATTATCAATAAGGTGCCAAAGCATATTCTGTGTGGCTGGGTATTTAGATACCCACCCTGATTCTAAAACTAGCATAGGAATGTGAAATTTGGATGATCCACTTGCATGGTTGCAAAATATTGTTCATTTTAAATTGTTTATAGCTGCACTCTGTTCTTTTGCTCTATGTAACATGCTTTCTATTTCAAAGTAAGCCTGATCTGTTTTAACCTTTTTTAATCTTTATTACTAGAAGAGATCTTTTAAAATGAACAAGTTCTGACTGTGTGTTATTCACTGGAAACATTTTTAACTTGTTTCATGGCTTGCTTTTCTTTTCTCAAAAAATTTTGCAATTGTTTTCCAACCTGCTAAAACTCCTAACGGTAGGTGCTGATTGTATTGCTGCAAATAATGAATTACTCCTGATTTTGTCAGCATTGCTAGCATCTTAGGTTATTCAAATGAATGGCAATGTAGTGATCACGATTTGCACTGTGTGTTTGCTCTTGTGTTTCCTTCTGCTTGGCCAAGGATGCTAGGTCGGTTTCACTTTCCAACTCTAACCAATTTTCTGTTTCAAGTTCTGTAGAATGAATACAGGGCCAAAGCTAGTGTCTTTTAAAGGCTGATCTTCTTTTATGCTCTAGGCGAGGCTGCATTCAAGGAGACTTTAGAAGTGTCTTAACTCAAGTGCAGATCTTAACACAACTTTATTCATATATGAAATTGCCTTTTTTTCTGTGTTTTATTAATCTGACTTATTCTTCACCACTTGAACCAAAAACTTTTCACAAAACAATGTAATTTTTGTTTAGGAGAGAACTATAGGAGTTTGTTTAGTACTTCCTTTGTTCAAGATAACCCTTTCTAAACAGCCACTCTCCTCCTCAAATGCCAGACTTGACACGCTTCAGGAGCTGATTATTTTTTATATTGAGCAAGTTGACAAAGTAGACATAAAAAGGGATGTGAGATAAGACTACAGATTAGAACTACATGTCACTTTGGAACAGGGTACTATGAGCTCAGAGGAAAATGAGATCGGTCTGCAGATGTGAGGAAGCCTGGGAAAAATAGCCACCGGTTGCTTTGTTGAAGTACTTGCGTGTAATGCTGAAGCTAGTAGGGAGAGCAGTTTTATCCTGTCGCTGTGACTCTTCAATGCACAAATCCTTTCCGTACTTGAGAAGCTCAGCTTCTTTACCCAATTAACCTTCAGATCACTTCCACATAGTCCTAATGCCCGTTCTTAACGGCCATCCTGAGATTTCCAGGGGTGTTTCAACGTATGAGAAGGGGAACTGGCTGGCCAGTCTCTCATGCATGTGCGCACAAACAGCATAAGCTGGACCCATTAGCCATAGATAGGTGGACTATCCGTACTAGATTATCCATGCTTGTCTTTTTCCTCCCAGACCACGTGTTTATGACTGCATCGTTATTGTGGTATGTCTGTTGCATGCTCTGCTCTAAGCAGAGGAAGACAAACCACATTCGTTTGGCTGTTTCATTATTGTCTGTTTTCCCACTGTTAAATTGCATTAGTGTGCCTTCCATTCGTGTTGTAGGCGGCCACTGCATTTGCAATGAAATAGTTAAGCACTGAGTATATTTGGCCTCAGAGTTGTGGCTTCTTCTGATCATGTGTTAATATGTAGGATGGTAACTGAAACAGGTAGCCAGGAAATTCAGAATTTTAATGCAGTTTTGGCATAAATTTTTTTTTAAAGAAGGCCATGTATTTAAGAGCTTTACTGAAAATATTGTACATTTACAGAAAAACTTGATACTGATTTTGGGGGTAAGGCAATCTCACCTAGGCGGTCACTGAGCTAAAAGGAATGTTTGTTTATTAATATCTGAAACCAAACAAGTAAATTGGGTGGGAGAGGCAGAGGAATATTCTGGTGGCTCTTTTGGGTCCACCTGTAGATAAAGAAAATGTGAACTGCAAAGAAAGAAGTCATGTGCAGCTTTTTAAAGGAATTTGGCTGTGTTGGGAAGTGGGATTAAAGACTTGATTTTGGATTAAATTAAGTGCCTGTTTTTGATAGACCCCTAAGTATTCTAGTTCTCCTTCTGTGCTGTTGCCCTCAGCAACCTCCAAGCATGTGGCTTTTCTTGGAAAGGGTAGCGTGTAAATTAGTGCTGATTATTTCTGTAGCATCTACAAAACATTGTTTGTCACAAAATACCAAGAAGGCCAAGATTTTGGGAAGTGTTAGGGAACATTTAGAATCTATGTAATGAGAGGAACTGTTGCCATCTCTTAGGTGGCACGGAAAATGCATGCTGGATATTGGCATGCTGGTGTTAGCATATCTGCTAATTAAGTGACTCATGTTTGCAGAAAAACTCTGGAATCTATTCCATAGCTGCTCTTTGCTATATTTTTTTTTTTTCATTTTTTGCAATTATTTCATTCTAGCATCTGTCAGACAAAACTTTAGATGAGGTGAATTATTTTTCTGATTAAAAAATACAAATTTGATTTTTGATAATTTTCTGCATCACTTCACTCACTTGGGTGAGAATATTCATTTATTCTGTGTTTTAGGAATAGGGTTTTGTTTTGTAAAATAACATCTTACTGGCTTATCTTGTGTGCTAGCCAGAACAACATTGTGGTATGCAATGGGACTTTTTTATTTTTAGTTTTATAGATGCATATAGATCTTCTGAAACTGGAGCACTTAGATAGTGCTAGTTAGAGCAGGACTTCGTCCCAGGATATATTGGGCTAAGTACACGCTGAGACTTCTAGATCCTGATCCTTTTAAATGAAGCTAGTGGTTATGATATTTTTGCACAGTGGTTGCTCATTTCCAGGCCAGACCACAGTATTCTCCTAGCTACCTCAGTACCAAGCTTCTGCCTTCTATGCGTACCTGGTCTAAAGATCTTAATGCCTAGATTCTCTCTTTTTCTTTTCTTTTTTTTTAATTTTAATTTTAGAGCCCATAATGGGGAAAAAAAAAAAATAAAAAAAAAAAAAAAAAACTCTTCAGGGGCTTTAAATCTTATTACACAACATAAATGTGAAACAGTAGTGCCTCATACTAGAGGTACTGGAAATATATAGTACTTGCTTGTCAGAAGCAATTGCTGGTACTCATGTGTCAAAATCAGGATGCAGTAACTTCTTCCTGATAAGTTAGGGCGTATTATATAGTTGCAGCAACTTAGAAAGCGCTAATGTTTTTTTTCTTTTTTTAGGCAGAGAGAAAGAAAAGGAAACCAAAAGAAAATGAAAGAGTAACACTTAAAGGGATATTCATACCATCTACTTTAAGCTTTTAGTCACTTCTCTTGGAGAGATCTGCTTCTCTCTTGTGACTGTACAAGGTCTTTAAGCTACTAGCTCAGATTTTCTAAATTAAATCTATCTCAGATGAACAAAGAAAAGATTAAAAACACCCCTTTCCTTAGTGGGAGGAGAGGAGATTGAGAAGATGGTTAAGAAGGCTTTAACAAATATGTGTGGATATATATTTCTCCATTGTTTCATTGGTTTTGGGTGGGCTTTTGTTTGTTTTGGGGGGGAGGGGCTTTTTTGAAATCTGAAGTTTCCCATGGTTATAAGGTTGATGCCCTCCTTCCAAACTTTTATTCCAACAGCACATCTTCCATAAATGAAGCTATGCCATCAACAATTGGCCTACATGTTGACAGCTGCATACAATTTGTGTTGATTAAATGAGAGAAATATGAAAGTACAATTTACAACATATTATATTGTATTGAAATTTATACAATATAAGTAGGAAATATTTTGATGTTCCTTTGTTCTATGTGTTTTACCTCTTCTTTCTGTCTGTCGTTTCACGTTTCTGTCTTGTGCTTTCTATCTACAAAAACCTGCTATAGGCCAGTGTTACGTGGTGGGTCAGCTGCTACCACTTCCTCTAACCCTCATCATGACAACACCAGGTAAAGAGTATTTTTTGTTAGCCATGATACACTAGTTCCGATTTTAAAATTTAGGCTTAAGTTTCCCTATTTCTGGGGAAGTCCTTTGTTTTAAACTTAATGCTCACTGTCACTGTTCATCTCAACTCTAGAGGTACTTTGGGCCCTTCTTCCTTGTCGATCCAATCCACTTGCAAAAACCTCACATGTCTAATAGATGGAACGTGTTCCAGAACTCTAATTCAACATAATGTGTCAGGGAGGCTTTTAGGTTACATTAGCAGTATGCTTATTTCCCCCTTGGTGGTGGCTGAGCTCCATTTTCCTCTTGCTAGAAAATCTGGCCTTGAATCACCTTATTCTTTTAATAGTGGCCATGTGTCCGTAAAACACAGGTATTTTCAGTAATATGCTTAGGATTTTTGTAGCTGGCTGCATTTTCACTGCCATTATCTTAGTAAACTGACATCATGCAGTGGAACTGGGTGCAAGTTTGACATGTGGTCTTATGGTCTGGGCTAAGGAAAATACATATTCCCTTCCCTCATTCCCGCTTCCCACCACGCTTCTGCAGTTTTTTCAAAGTAGAGATTGCACTCGTGCTTAAATAGATGCTGGATTCACGTAGGTGATTCTTCTCTGACTCAGCAATTGAGTTCTTGTGATGGTCAAAGAGGATTATCTGAAGGGATTTCTAGCTGGTAACTGTCTTGATTTAATACCTGGACTAGATATGTTCAGAAGTTAGTAAAGCAGCAGTGATATATTGTGAATTTATATTAAATTTTTGTGACCTGGAGGAATGTCTGTCTGTCTCATTGAAACAATGGGCCTTTTCACTTTTCCCAAGAGGTGGTAAGGGACAACTGTGCTGTGGACCTGGTGGAATTTTCTAATTTTTTTTGCCATCTGCTATAAATAAAATGGCTACCAAAAGACCCTCCTCAAATTTCTCTGGCTTTCAAACGACTTGTAGAAGTAAAGGGAATAAGTTGAAATGGAAGAATGAGCAACTGTATATGTAAAAATAATAAATAAAGATACAAGCACTCTCTCTAAGAGGTGTATAAAGTCCTTTGCTTTCCACAGTATCTATAGTATATGTCATGAAAGTTTTAGGATAGACGGCCATTACCCAGTTAAAGTATCAAGCCTTTTTGTTATAGGAAAGAATTTAAGTTTCTTGTATTTATCTTCAGTCTGGATAAGTCTTTCTCATACAACAGTATGAGGAGGGAAGTTAGAGTTCTGCAAAGCAACTGAGGACCACCTGAGAGAAGAGAAAAGCTTATGAATTGATTTCCTGAACTGTCTCTGAGATTGTTTACACACAAAATCTCTCAACCTGAGTTACCTTTCTGAAATATGAAATGTGTTATTTTCTTTCTTCTTCTTGTCTTCCCCCATTTACCTCCTAAATTTTAGAAGAGATACCAGTGGATCTACAAAAAAAACCTTTTTGCCCGGATTTGTCAGAAAACTTGAATTTTTGTGCAAAGCTTCAGGTTGTTTTTTTTTCTTTCTTTTTTTTAAGCAATAGCAAAGTTCACACTGGTTTAGTATGAACTCAAATTTATTTTTAAACAATCTTTTCTCTGCTGAATTTGTGATGTGAACTTCACAGCACTGAGGAAATAAAAACCAGTTTCAGTCTCTTTAATATTGCCCAAACTGAAAGAACTATAAGTAGTCAGCAGCATAAATTACAATGGAACTGATGTTGAGTCTCCTTATTTTAATTATATTAGACTTCCTAAGTATAAAAAAAATTATTAATGGCTTTAATGAGAAATTGTTTTACTTAACACAATGAATTAGCAAAACTTTTCTTGTCCCATATTATGTTTTTAAAAGATCTGTCTTGTGACAGATGGTTGCCTAATGAAATATTCCTGTACTAAAAGTCATTTTACCCTGCTCTGTCCTGGAGAAGGTTTCCCTCTCCCTCTACACCTCCAACCCCAAAAAACACTGTTCAAAAACTAATTAAACGCCTAGCTTTTATACAGTGTTTCGCAAAGATCTCTGTTATCTAAGTCCAGACTAATGCAGTTCTCACTTAGAAACAACAAGAATATTTTCATGAGCAATGGAACAGCGAAGCTTTTGAGAAATTGTATGTTAGGAAAAAATGTCATGAACTAAGGGTGTTCTGTAGAATTTTCCTAAAAGCGGTGGAAAAACATGCAATGCAAAACTATTAGCAGTGTTTAAGTGCCTCCTGTAAGCTTACAGTATTCTACTTATATTCAGAGTTAACCTTAGTACGTATCCAAGTTGACCATTAATGTAACTGTGTGACTAAATGATAAACATTCTTTTGGGATTTTTTTTTGTTCTGAATTTGGTAGCTTCGACATGTATTTTGTTCAGTTTCCTAACCTGTTTGCAGCAGTTGTCTGTACATCCTAACGGGAAAGAGAATGCAATCAAAAAGGGGAATTAATATTGGATGTTGAAACTTTAAGATAGTAAGTGAGAAACTCGGTGATAAGTACGGCATTAGGAACTACTTTTACCTGATATTTGTTGGAAAAGAATCTGGTTAAGAGGTAGCATTTAGATGATCAAAACACATATACTTTATTTAAACTGTCTGCCCTCTTCCAGCTTAAAATAAACATGCTGTATTTAGTTAAATAACTCATACTGGAGATAGAAATAATGGTTTCTCTGAAACTTTCCTTGCCTTAAAGTACAAGGTAGTTTCTGCATTAAGAAAACTGCGAATTGCTTTGGAAACAAACTTCTTTTTAATGCATTTGAAGTTCAG